TATGTGATTACTTTTAGACGAAACTTCTAAGTCTAATTTCGGGGCATTACACGTTTTACCCTTGAAATGAAATGTTTCTGATTATGTCATTTGTCAATTTCTTCGTCCAAATGCTAAAATTAAACTATTGAGTTAGAACTTTGTCCATAAAAATCTTGGCTAAATGAAAAAAAAATAAGTATTCAAACTATATCGTTTATTAACTTAGGGTGCCTAAAGAATTTTCCGCTCAAAGTAGGTGCCTAATGTTTTCATCATTACTCCTTTAAGTACATACGTCATAACGATTGTTAAAAAATTGTTATCCAAACTCTTACCGTTGTTAATTTTGTTGTTGTCGTTACGATTAGGCCGCCTAGAAGGCTTCAAACTGTGCATGTAGACTTCGCAGCTAGTTCTTGAAGTTGTGATAAGCATAGTAGTATGTCGGGTCGTACACGGTTTGTTGCTGTTGGTTGGAAAAATCGAGCACGTCGATAGGATTTTGGGAAGAAGATTAGAGGTAGGATTGGTTATTTTGCTCTCGGTGTTAATCTTGACTGATTCTTTTTGGTCAAGAGATACTACACACTCATCCTACCAATTGTTCGGGTTAATAGGGTTACGATAGCCTTTGACAATTCACCTCTTTCGGTTTAAGTGAAGAGACACAAATGGTGGATGGTGAAAGAGATGAGCTAAAGAAGGTGATAGAGGGAGAGTCCGAGAGAGAGTCCCATTCTTCTAGTCATACATGGTGATTTATATACAAACTTTTAATATTGTTGACCGACTTAAAGTGGTGATGACTATTTATAGATTGCTTGGCAAATAAATCTAAGTATTAGATAGTAGATTTAGCTTTGGTAAGTCACGTGAATCTGTTAATGATCATGTCAAAAGATTATAATATATAAGGGGGAACACGTATTTTATTAGAACTCTACTCCTCCCTAATTTCTCTTCTTGCATATTTATTTTCTTGAATTTCTGTAATCCCTTTGGATCTTGTTGATTTTTGGGAGAAAAAAACTCCATTGAAGCCTTCACGATCTTTTCAAATGGATGTCATCTTCGAAACCCAAAGAGGCAAAGCATTTTACATTGAAGTTGGTTTCTTCGATACAGTTCTTGAAATCAAAGAGAAAGTGCAGAAATACAAGGGAATACCTGTACATACTCAAACCCTAATCTTCAATGGCCATGTCCTTCAAGAAGAACGTGACGTCGAGTACTGTGAAATCCTACAAAACTCACGTATTCAACTACTCGTGGCTCCGGCACTGGAGATTGAAAATAATCGGCGACCAAGTTTGTCGCCGTTGAAGGAAGTGCAACTCAACGTCAATACGCCATCATCGGAAACCTCGTTCCCTCTCGAAGTCGACGAGTACGACATCAAGCCTTTCCTTCTACTGATGCCGAGTTGCATGGTGGTATGTCACCGGGGGACTGCATGCTAACGGGGCACAACAATGTGGATGTGAACATCAAGAAACCGCCGTTGCCTCAGCATTCTGGGAAGGGGTCACCGACTGCGGCTGCCGTGACTGGAGCGGCAACGGATACAAGAGGCTCGCAGAAGATGAAGCTGTGGGTGTTGCTGATGTACGGGACAAAGAAGATACCGGTGGCGATGAATGCAAATGATAACGTCGGGGAACTAAGAAAAGAGCTGCAAAAGTTGCGGAAAACGCTTCCTTTTGATTTATCACGACAAGGGTACTTTTTAGTTCATAAACAAAACTTGATGGAGGAGGATCGGTCGTTTAAGTGGCATCAAGTTTTGCAAGGTGATACCATTGAGATCTTTACTGATGGACCATGTGATTAGGGTTTTGATGAGAATGCTTTATGAATGAAAAAAATAGCCTTTCTCTGATATGTTTACCTAATAAGTATCAATCGATCATGTGTGGTCATTTTTTTTGAATAAGAATGATTTTTTCTACTTTTGCGGTACAATCCTTATGAATTTTGATATATTTTGCGCATAACTTTGACATCGTTTTGGTGCTCCTGCAAATATTATCACGACATTTATTTTCTGATTGATTTGTCGATGATCACGTATAATTAGATTTCCTCTTTGATAAAAGGTTATTTGCCGATATAATCAGAATTGTGTAACGAAGTAGCTTGCCAAATAGTTTAGTACGCTCACCACTCTTTTATCACTTTGTAAACCGTCTCGTTCGATAGATACAATAAGTTTTTATGAAGGTTACTAAGTTCTTTTAAGGTTGATCATCATTCTCAAGGGAAAGTTTTATTTTTCTTCGTGTCTTTGCATTTAATTGTTTTGTATGAGTTTTGTGTTGAATTTGTAATTTTGATTTCTTTCATTATTTTTATTAATGAAATTTAATTATCATCGTTAAAGAAAATTAGACAATGTTACTTGTCAAGCCCAATTTGTCAAATTTGTCAATCTAATAAAATAAGGTTATATGTAGTGATGGATTGAGAGATACTGGTGTGCGATCGCACTCCTATAAATTTTAAATTCTCTTATTATTAAAGTGTTTTATTTTTATTTTTATTAATAATCTAATTTCACATCCTTTAAATTTTGTAATTTTACACCCTTAAAATTTTAATATAATTTCGTAAATTTTCATCAAATCCCATAAAATTTTATTTATATTCAAGTCTTTATGTAGTGACGGATGTAAGAGTTATTTAAGATGAGCAAGAGCCATAAAACCAAATAAAAAGATTTATATTCAGTTTTGCGTTGTGTTATATGATTTCATAATTTCCAAGGAAATGGGGACAGCTAGGGATGTAAAAAGTTGACTTGATCTGTAAAACTGACTGAAATTGACTTGAGTTAAAATTGTTTGAGATTTAAGTGATGGTGATCCGAAACTGATTCAAGTCCGAACTAGTGTTGACCTGAACCCGAGTTGGACCTAGAAATTATGTATATGAACTCGACCTGCACCCGATCTGAGAATGACCTGAACCCGAATTGAACCGATAATATGATAATCGAACCCGACCCGCATTCGACTTATATGAACCTGAACCCGAGATTAACCTGGTAAATAACTTGTATTACCCGACCTGTTATGAATCTGACATGTAATTGACTCAACCTGTAAATAATCTCACTTGTTATTGACGTGATCTGATATTCACCCGATTTATAAGTTACAATCGATGAAGTTGTGAAATTTTGAATCTATAATGAACTATGATAATTAATATGACTCCCTTTTAAAAATTAAAATAAATTGTTAGTTATAATAATTAAATTAATAAATTTACTTTCTATATTAATTATAATCATTATATTATAAATTTAAATTATAATCATTAAATTAATCTCATTAAATAATTTTTTTATTTAACATGATTTTATTAGATTATATAAAATTAATTTAAATATTTATAAGTCTTTGTTGGTGGGATCAAAGTGTGCTGTTTTTATGAACTGATTGAGCTGAAAATTCGCATTAATTAAAGTTTGACCGACAATCATAAATTTAGCGTTCATTGATCATGCATCTACAGGACGTGTTGAAAGAAAGGGCCTAAAGTTATATAAAATTGCAAATTTAGCCCTCCACTCAATCAAAGAGAAGACCCTAGTTAAATGGTAAACCACATTATAAATATTAATGAGTTAATTTTTTATTATCAATGGGTGATTATTTCGAGTTCAAACCTGAATCGGTTGAGCGAAATTCGACTTGAAATTTTGATCTTTATAATTCGACTTGATTTGAAAAAAAAAAACTTACTTTTAGTAATTTATGGGTTAATTTATAAATTTGAGTTGAATCTTTCAATTATGTATGGTATGTATATATTACATATGAAAAATATAAAGAAATGTGTATGGTATATATGATTATAAAATTTCATTTAAATGGAAATCGAATAGTTTCATAATATTATAAATATTTATAATTAAATTCAAATAAAAATTAAAATAATTTGGTTGGAATTTTATTTGTAAAATTCAGAAATTTTATTTAGAAAATTGAATTGTAAAATAAAATTTAATTTAAATAATTCATAAATTTTAAACTTAACTTGATTGAATATTTACCGACTTCATTAAATGTTCACCTCTAACAAAATAAGTATTTAATGTCACTGATCAAATAAATCCAAAAAATACTAGAAATCAAATTCATGAATCATCTCGGGATACACATGAGTTAGATTGGGTCAGATTGGGTCAGCGTTTTTGTCAATCCGAATTAATATGAAAATATATAGTTTTCATCCGGAATTGGATCATGCTCTAGTTTAGGGGTGGTTTCTCTCAATTAGAGGTGCACAAAAAATCCGAATATCCGATTTTACGTAAAAAATATCTTAAATCGGATTTGGGAAAACCGGATCGGATATTTTAAAACCGGATAGTATAACCAGTTTGGGAAAAAATTGGATGACCGGATTTTTTATCAGATTAAAAACTGGTTTGAAAAAAACCGGATAAAAAATTTTTTATCCGGAAAAAAATCCGATCTGGGGTTTAAAAAATTGGATGACCGGATTTTTTACCGGATTAAAAACCGGTTTTTTCAAACCGAAACCGGTTACATCATCCGACCCTCCAAACCGGTTATGATCCGAACCGATTTTTTTATAAACCGGTTTTTTGACTTGGTGAAAAAACCAAATCGATTTTTATCCGATCCGGATCGGATTTAAATCCGGCTATGTGCATCTCTACTCTCAATCCAAATCTAAGCCAACCTTTCGAGATAAAACCTAAATATGATCTGATTCGACTCGAAACAGATATATTAATAAAAAAAATATTATTTTTTCAACAAAAAAATGGATCTAATTGAAAAAATATATAAAGAGTTATTATTGCAATTATCCCTAAATATATAAAATAAATTTAATTTTTTTCGGATTAGATTGAATATTTTTCACCTTAAACTCAAACTAGATCAGATCCGAACACATTCTCTAAAAAATCGACCCGGCTCGACCCAAACTCAATTTTTAATAAAAAAAAATCTAATCCGAATTATCCTTTGCATCATGCATAATGATCGTCCAAATACACGGAAATATATTTTTTGAAAATTAAATATATTCGTATCCGATACACATCCTTACCCAACACGTAAACCCGAATCCATATAACACAACAAATAATAAAACAAGTGCAGCATGAGCATCAAGGAATGATTTCACCACACCTTGGATGTAAATATTCGAACATTGACACAAGAATCAGGATGGGACCAAAGTGATTTCAGACCACAACTTCTTAATGGAGATGGTCCAAAGAAGATCAGAATCCGATAGCACCGTGACTTTCTCTCCTTCGACTATATTCGACGTGCTTACTAAACCACCAAATTTCATCTCCGTGTTATCTGGAACGAGATAATAACAGTAAATCATATCGGTAACGTCGTAGCCGGCTCTCGGGTGAAAATATGAGAAAAGTAGAAGTAATGATCCCATATGCTAGCAATAGCATGTTATATATGTGAATACGGAAAAAAAAAACAGCAGACTGAAGTTCAAATTTATTATTATGGACGGCAATTTAGAGTCATTAACACACTAGTACGTTGGTTTCAAATGTTTCAATCCACATTGTGTGGGTTCATCATGGTGATGGCACCGTCACAGTGTGCGTGAAAAGATTAGAGAAAAGGAAACAACACAAAGGATAATAGGAACGACGCTCTTGTAAGTGACATTAAATATCCATCACCCTCCAAAAACAAGCCAATTTCCCCTTGGTAGTTTGTATTATTATGTAATTAGGGGCGGAGTCATGATCGAACATGAAGAGGGGCCAAATTACTGAACTTTAAAAATACAAGGGCTTATTAAGTATTTAAACCTAAAATTTGGAGGGGCAAGACCTAACTTGTCTAAGATTTGAACTTATAGGGACCTAAATTGTCATTAGAGCAATAAATTTAGGGATAAATGAGTCTAAACAGGTATAAGACCTACCGATATTTATTAGTAAATGTAAGGGATACATAATAAAGTATATAGAATTAAATTAGTTTCTTTGACCACATAGACATGCTCAAGTGAAATGAAAAGCAAAGCAACATAACAAGGCATGCAGAACTAATAACATAAGTAAAGCAACATAATAAAGTGTATGGCATGCAGGTTAATGTAATCATATACTTACTCAGATTCCATCTAAGCCCAGTTGTAGTACTACTACTTGATGGCATCCCGAGGGGGATGAGTCCACAGTGTGGTCCCTCAACAGAAGCTTGAATATGTATCTCGTGACGGTGAGTCCTAGGAAGAAGGTAGACGAGACTGTCATTGGATAAAAGGACTATTCGTAGGGATGCGAAACAACACAGAACATTCAGGTTTCCAATCTCATGGTCAAATCGTCCACCAAGTGCTCCAGCAACAAGAATGCAAAGCTGCTATTAAATCCGGAAAAAGAAATGATAAACAACCATCAAAACACAAACTATAGATAAAAATGTATAGTACAGGATGAGATCATGTCCTAGCTGTAATAAATACCAGCTGCCAAAGCCAATATTGAAGTACTCATGATAATAAACATAAAATAAAAGCAAAATGAATGTTCCTAAACAGTCAAATCCACCCCCCCCCCCAAAAAATACCAAGAAAGAAAAAATCTAGATCATTTAAATTTAACATACATTAGACTTGTTCACATCTGAAGAGGAGTCCCGAATGTATGTTACACATTTATGTAGATCTGTGGTGTCTTGATCATGAGATTTATCGATAATCTTTGTTCCCTGCACCAAAGAAGCAAGTGAAAATGTCTGAGCAACCGAATATAAACGAGCGAGATGTAACAAGTTAAGGACAAGGAAAAAGGCACTGGTGTTTTCAATTGACAAAAGAATGAAAGACTAATGCTTATAAAAACTAGTGAATGTAGCATGTTATCCCCAAGGAAAGAGATGCTAATGCTCACAGAAAAACGAGACCGGCAAGGAATAAGCGAGAGCAACCGTAAGCATGGAAGGAAAACACCATCAACATGATCTACAAAGAGAAATTTGAAAACTTACAATGCTCTTATAAAAATCAAGTACATCCTTTCGTATCGAATCCATATCACCTTTAATTGCATCCGGTTTGTATCTGCTACGAAGCAAAGCGCCTATGTTATCACATCATTTAACATTAACAACAACCAAAGCATTTTGCCAGAATCAGCTAAAATCAAATATAAGGTCCCTTTTAGCTTTTCCGTTAGCATAATTTTCTAGGTCGAAAACTGCATTTCATTATCATTTGCGAATAAGATCATGATTTCGTAATCCAGACAGGGGGGGAATTGAGTTTTTTTCCATCTGAATCTTTAACTGTTTAAGATAAAATATTATTCTCATAGTTCTAAAGAACTTTCTCACGTCAATCTTCCAAACACTTGAAATACATACACCACAATTATTTCACCATAATTTTTGCACCGCAAGCTTTTTCCAACGATTTTATGAATCAAATCGTGATGAAACTCAAAAACTTCTAAACTAATGTAAGAATTCAAATCGCAGGATGCAGACAGAGGCGATTTAATGGAATACAACTGAATCACACAAGAAAAACACAAAAGCAGCAAAGAGATACAAAAAAAAAACCTGCGTCGAACGTCGGAGGCATTCTCCTTAGGGAAGAACAGAGGCATTTCATCGAACAGACGGTTGGCGCCACCGTCAGCACAGAGGTGAAGCCCAGCTGCACTAAACAAAAAGGAAAAAGGGCAAGATATTAATAATAAAAAATAACAAAAACAAATAAATAAATAAAAAGAGGAAAAAGGAGGGTGCATGATAAATACCGTGCTCCCAAAGCAGAGGAGTGAATCTGGGGAGGCTTTGGTTAAGAAGAACAAGGGCGTAGGTCAGAGGAGGGCGGTGGCCGTCGACGGGACTGGAGGGGAGGAGGAAGGTGGAGGAATGGTGCATAAGGTCCATGGCTAACGTGCGCGGGGAGAAGAGGAGAAGAAGAAGAGGGGTGAGAGAAGTTTGAATAATTGTGCATAATTCATGAGATCAAAATCAACGGAGATTTTCAAAAATAAATGAGGAGAAGAAAAATAATTGACTTTTGCTCAAGTAATGAATTGCGGGATTGTTTATAGGTAAACTATTCTATCACTTGATTTTTTATTGGGTAAATTACATTATAGTCCCCTTACTATAGGATATTATTTTATTAAGTCCCCGATCTATTAAAAATTACAAAATAGTCATCCAACTATTCATTATGTTCTAAACTCATCATTTTTCGTTAAAATTTTGACGATCGACCGAGTTATACATTAAACTATGACTGAGATATGATAAAATATGATCTCATAATCCTAAACGACTATCATATCTCAATCAGTTTATTAATGTCAAACGAAGATTACCATTAATTTTTTTAACGGAAAATGATTAGTTTGGAACGTGATGAATAGTCGAGTGATTATTTTGTAACTTTTTATAGTCAATGGACTCAACAAAGTAACCATCTATAGTCGATAGACCATTTTATAATTTCTAATGGACTCGATAAAATAGTATTTTATAATTGGGGGATCATTTGTGTACTTTACCCTTTTTATTCTTATTTTGATTATTAAAATTAAATAGTTTTTAATTTAACCATTTAAATTTAGAAATTTATTCATTATGATCATTCAATTGTCATCTTTCTAATTATGTATTGATTTAATTTTTTATTACTTTTTGAGTAATATATCAACTCATATTCTAACTATTACTCATTGTAATTGATTACTGTGTAAACCCTCATCATTAATAAATATTAATTCAAAAATTTTAAATTATTTTTATTAAGCAAAATGCTAAAATTAGTCCTCAACATTTATAAAAAATGAGCATTTTGCCCCCATGTTCTATTTTTTTGGAGTATTTTAACCATTAATATTTCATTTTAGGGCAAAAAGGTCCCTAACATTTGAAAAAATAATTACTTTGTCCATTATTCTTTTTTCTAAGGCATTTTAGCCCACAACGTTTCATTTTAGGTTAAAAAATTCTTATTTTAGAGCGTTAGCCGTGAGTTAACTAATGGTTGTCATCTATAGAGGGAGCTTTTTGTCTCAAAGTAAAACATTGGGATTAAAATGCACCAAAAAATAATATAAATCAAAATGGCTATTTTGTTAAACGTTTGCGCTAATTTTAGTATTATACCATTTTATTATGATCCTTTGAATTTAGGTATTAACGTCCTTCACCTAAATTTCAAGGCCACAAGTACAAGACCTTTTTATGCTTGGTTGGATTGGACAAATGGCTTTAAGGGCTGACCCCAACTATTGAGGATACTTTTTGGCAAAAGTGTAAGTTCTTGATTTTGGGTCTCGTTTTGTTTCTTTATGCATGTAAACACTAAAAAAATGTTTTCAGAATTTATCGAGTGACTTTAATAGTTAAAATCGTTTTGTTATCTCTTGAAGTCCTGAGTCCGAGATCTATATCTATAACATGTGTATGCATTGTTCTCTCTTGAAGTCTTGAACCGAGGATCTGTATTGTAACATGTGTATGCATTGTTAATAGTTTAAAAAATATTATAAACAAATATTATCTTATATTCATCTTAGAATATTAAAAAGTATTAAATTGTGAATTAAAAAATAGTGTGTGTGGATTGGTGTTTAGGGACTTAAAAATTGACGGAGAGACTTATGTTGGATGATGATCAAAGTCGACTATTAGGGGTGTACTTTGAGCGACGTTTAGGGTTTTATTTATTTTAATAAAATCTATAATTTTTATTATATTTTTTATTTTTTATAATTGAGTCTCTTAATCTTCTTTAATTTTAGTTTTATTTTGTAAATGAGGCTATTAATTTTTATAACCCTACTTATTATATTTATAATCGAGACATATAATTTTTCAATCTCATTTTCTTACATTTATAATTGATGACTCTAATTTCTTCAATCTCACTTTTTACTTTAACTGAGCTTCTAATTTTTTGAATCTCACTTTCTATATTTATATTTGAGACCCCTAATTTTTAATCTCACTTTTTACCTTTATAATTGAGACCCTGATTTTTTTCCAATTCCAGTTTTTGCTTATATAATATAGGCCATATTTTTTCAATCTCACTTTTTACCTTTAAAATTGAGGTGCCTATTTTTTAATATCACTTTTTACCTTTTATAGTTGAGACCCTAATTTTTTCAATCTTACTTTTACTTTTATAATTTAAGATCCTAATTTAATCATTTTCTACGATTTATTAATATAATATTAATTATTGTTTAAAATAATAGAATATACATTTCATTTATAAGGCCTATTTTTTAGTTTCGCTTAAGACCTAAAAATGTTCGGGACGACTCTAATTATTATAATTTATTTTTATCTAAAACAAATGATAAAGACTAAAAAATAACTGAAATATTCAATGTTAGATTTATGAATATTAGTGTGTGTAATTTTGACTAAATAGTCATCGGATTCACATTCAAAATGGTAAATTGAGTTATGTAAAGTTGATCGTAGCGACAATCATAATTTAAATTAGTTCAGACGAAGATAAAGAAAATAAGAAAAATTTAAAAAAAAATAAAGCAAAGAATTTATTTAGATTCAAAACAACGTCGTTTTAATGTCTTTCCTAAGAACTCGAAACGATATTATTGGGATATATCATCAAATTGTATACATTTCATCATATATTTATTATTTAACAGTTGAATGATTAAAAATATCAAAGTTGGATGATAAAAAAATTGTTTTAGTGACGGAAAAGAAAAACAAAGAAAAATTAATGATTAAAGTTGTAATTTACAATTGTTTATAAGGAAGGTTCATGACGAGGGCTTCACCGTCACCCGGCCCCACCAATTTGGTACACCCATCCCGAACATCTCTGTTCATGAGCTGGGACGGATAGACGTGGTTCCATTCCTAGTCCAAGTTGGATAAAGTTTGAACGGCTCCGATTTAATGTGAATTAAAAATTTAATGTTAAGAAAGATATTATTTTACTTTACATAAGGTATTACAGAGGCGAGGGCGACCCTCCCAACCTAATTTACTCCGTTCGCAAACGTCAAGATTCGAACACATGACTTTCGTTAGAGATCTAATATCTCGTCCTACTCACTCCTATTTAACATTTCCACTCACTCTGTTATGGGTAAATTATAAATTTAGTAATTGAACTTTACTTTCTCTTCTATTTCACTCACTATATTTTTAATCTTTTCAATTTTCTTACTAAATTTAATACATTGAGGGGGTGTTTGGTTCAAGATTGTGGGATTCCCATGGGATGAATCCCACATTCTCATGTTTGGTTGGCCGGGAATCTCATTCCCGGTAATATTTTATTACCAATAGTAGATTTTTGGGGTATATTACCGGGAATGTCATTACCTCCCTTCCCTTAGGTATTGTAACATTACCGGTATTTTGGACTAAAACGCCCTTAAATTTTTTTTTTTTCAAAAATATCCTTCTTCTGTCATTGAATAATAAAAATTCTACGAATGTTAAATTACAATTTTTTCCTTAAATTATTTTAGATTTACAAAAAAAAATCTATAATTAAAATTTTATATGAAGTTCAGGGGTTAAAAATTTTTACCCTTTCATTAAACCTTTTTTATATTTTTAATTTTGTAAAAAAAATTATATAAATATTATGAATTTAATTTTTAAAGAAAAATATAAATTTTACAATTTGTAATATTATACAAATATATAATAAGAACAATTTGGTCAAATATACATTCCAAAAATATTTTATTTCTTTAACCAAACATGGTAATCTTACATTCCTGCTAAACCAACCAAACACAAAATACAACATTCCCAGTAATCCTATTCCCTGGTAATCTTTTATCTCCACTGGTAATCTTACATTCCGTGAACCAAACGCACCCTGAGTTTTTTGGCTACTCAGTTGTTTCATCACTAATTGATTATAACGTGGCTTTTCTTTAACTAAAAAATCAAATGTATAAAATTCAATGATCAAATTGAAAAAATATAAAAGTATAATAGGTGAAATAAGAAAGAAAGTAAAAATTAATTATTAAATTTATAATTTACTCATAAAAAATGAAAAAGTCGCATCATAACACTGTGGGAAACAACTAAGTGACTAAAACCCTAATGTATTAAATTCAATAAAAAAATTTAAAAAATTTAAAATATAGTGAATAAAAGAAAAAAAAAAAAAAAATTCTATCATTAAATTTATAGTTTATTTTATTTATTAATTACTTGTTCTTTTAATATGATTATATGACTTTTCCGACTCATTAATAAAAATGTTTTTTAAAGTTTGGAGTTCAAGTAATTATTAAGAAAAAATAAAATAAATAATATATTTTATATATCTCGTACTATTAAAAGTTACTTTATTAGCCATGGACCCCATAACCCAACAATCACCCCCAACGACACCTGGGGGATTCAAACCTACAACCTACTCTGATACCAGTTGTTAGGATCGAGTCATTCATTTCTGAACAACTTCTCAGTGGGTTATCCATCATTGGATTTCCCTAGTCTAAGCACGCTTAACCACAGATTTGTGAAGCGAATGGTCACCATTCCTTCTTAAAACCAATTGGTGATAAGTAGGTGGGCTATTTTAACCTCATATCTTTGTAGTGGGTGATCACTGGGTTCCCCCAATCCAAGGTGGATTCTTGGGGTACCCCCCACAGTTCACCACTGCATTGTAGAGCCACGCATCTATAGCGTGTTGCGGGCGGGCCTAGGGACTTCGCAAGGCACACGTGGGCCTCGGCAGGTTAGGCAGTCACGCATCGATATCACGCCCATACACGATAGAATCCTAAGGGTGATCGTTGGACCCCATAACCCAACACTATATATCTTAATTTTAAATTGTTCGAATGATGGATATTATAAATCAAAGTGATTTGAGATTAACTTTCATAAGTCTTAAAGTGACTTTGAAAAAAGAAGCTAAATTATAGAATAATATGGGTCGATGAGATGAGTTCATCAGACGTCAGCGTCTTAAGTGGTTGGAGGATACGTTAAAGAATGTCGATTTAAATACTAATATGATAAATGATACATAATGTGATATATGTCATATCATCAAATAAACACACGTGAAAATGTATGATGTGTTGACTGTTAATCAATCAAAAATTTACATCTGATAAGAGTTATTATGAAAAATCAAAATATTGAGACTAAATTGCTTTAAAAAGAGATAAAGTGATTATATGTACAAATATCGATGGTTAGTTTTATCATTATGCTAACTAAAATTAGGGACTAAAAGGGTACATTAACTCAACTTTAAAGGAGGTTTGGATAAGAAAGTATAGATTCTATGTATCAAGAGTCAAAGTGTCTACATCAAATGTTTAAATATTGAGTCATTTAACTATTAAAAGTTACAAAATGATTGTATGACTACTCATTGTGCTCTAAACTCATAATTTTTCGTTAAAAATTGATGATATTTTAAGTTGGACATTAACCTGCTGACTAAGATATGATATAATATGATCCTAAAATCTCAGACGATTATCATATCCTAATTAGCAGTTGACACCACCTCAAACTATTATCATATTTTAACGAGAAATGACACATTTTGAAACACAATAAATAACAATGTGATCATTTTATAATTTTTAATAGTTAAAGGACTTAAAAAGATAACATCTTATAATTAGAGAACTATTTATATTTTTTAATAATTAAATGACTCAATAAAAAATAATTTATAATCTAGAGATCATTTGTGTTAGTTGCCCTAATTTTTAATTAGTTATAAAAATGTTTAGTTACATTAAACAAATTTTAAAACGATAATTACCTGTTAAAAAAACAAAAAAAGAGGGGCTGTAAAATATTTTAAACAACAAAAGAAGCCATCCCCGACACATCGCGCCGCGTCGGGTCCCGACAGCTGTCTTAAAAATTTCCTGTCTGAAAAATGATTAAAAAACGCCATTTGCATTCCCCAAAAATGCCAAAAAATATTCTGAAAATCTCTAAAAAATCTTCCAAATTCCAATTCCTAGGGTTCTTCCTCGCTTCTCTCCTCTCCAATTCGGCCATTGTTAGGCACTGAAGTTAAGACCGGGTCGGGTCTAGGAACCGGAAGATGATAGACAATTGTTTGGGAGCTCAAAGATCTAGGAAGATCCGTAGAGCTTTGCGTCACTGCAAGGTCACGCTCTTCTGCCTCGTTCTCACCGTGGTCGTCCTGCGTGGCACTATCGGAGCCGGAAAATTCGGTACTCCGGGGCAAGACTTCGCCGATATCCGCGACCACCTCTATTCCCGGAAACGCGCCGAGCCGCATCGCGTCCTAGAAGAAGTCCAAACGACGTCGTCGGATGAAAACGCCGGCGCCGACACGAACGCCGGGACCAACAACTACAACGAGTTCGACATTAACAAGATTTTACTCGACGACGAGTCCGACGAGTCGAAACGCGATTCTAACGTCCCCTATTCTCTCGGGCCCAAAATCTCCGATTGGGACGAACAACGATCTAGATGGCTGAAAGAAAACCCTAATTATCCAAATTTCATCGGTCCGAACAAGCCGAGGGTTCTATTAGTCACTGGGTCGTCTCCCAAACCTTGTGAGAACCCTGTCGGTGATCATTATTTATTGAAATCGATCAAGAACAAGATCGATTACTGTAGATTGCACGGGATCGAGATATTTTACAACATGGCGCTTCTGGATGCTGAAATGTCAGGGTTTTGGGCGAAATTACCATTGATTCGAAAGCTTTTGCTCTCGCATCCGGAGGTGGAATTCTTGTGGTGGATGGACAGTGACGCCATGTTTACTGATATGGCGTTTGAGGTTCCTTGGGAACGGTATAAAGACTCCAACTTTGTTATGCACGGCTGGAATGAGATGGTTTATGATCAAAAGAATTGGATTGGGCTAAATACTGGGAGCTTTTTGTTGAGGAATGGACAATGGGCGCTTGATATTCTCGATGCTTGGGCTCCGATGGGTCCTAAAGGCAAGGTTAGGGAAGAGGCAGGAAAGGTTTTGACCCGTGAACTTAAGAATCGCCCTGTTTTCGAAGCTGATGATCAGTCTGCAATGGTTTATTTGTTGGCTACTCAAAGAGAGATGTGGGGTGATAAGGTTTACTTAGAGAATGCTTATTATTTGCACGGTTATTGGGGGATCTTGGTTGATAGATATGAGGAAATGATCGAGAATTATCATCCAGGTTTGGGCGATCATCGATGGCCGTTGGTGACTCACTTTGTGGGGTGTAAACCTTGCGGGAAGTTCGGGGATTACTCGGTCGAGAGGTGCTTGAAGCAGATGGATAGAGCATTCAACTTCGGGGATAATCAGATTCTTCAGATGTATGGATTTACTCACAAGACTTTGGGTAGTAGAAGGGTTAAGAGAGTTCGGAACGAGACCAACAATCCGCTCGAGGTGAAAGATGAGCTTGGACTACTTCATCCGGCTTTTAAAGCGGTTAAGGTATCCTCCTCTTGATGATATAGGCTTTATATGATATCTTATCATGCTAAGTGATAGGTTACAATGTTGAAATGTCGTGTATGCAGTGAGAATCTTATGTTTTAGGTCTCGATAAATAGTTGTTGTTGGTCTGCCGTATGGAGCATTGTCTCCTTTTATTCGAATTTTCCATGACCTGATTATGGTTAGAGAAAAAAAATGGTCTGGAGAAATAATATTCTTTTGTTCCTTATCTATCTTTAAGTTATGAGTTCGTTGATCAATGCTTTCCAAAGGAAAAATTAGCCCACACTTTTGTACGCAGCTATTCGTATTTGTAACATATAAGCAAACTCGGTTTTGTCAATATTTGAACATGGTGATACATTGTTGTTCGAATAGATAGTTGTGATTCTCCGATTTTAGAAACACGTAGTTGAATGAGGCGTTTTAACGATGATCTTAGGTCTCGTTCTTTATCACTTGTTCCTTCGGTTAGGGCTATATTAGATCGAGTAGGAAACTGACGTTAAGAATGAGGAATAGGAGATGAGCCTTGCAAGGAATAAGATGATAGCGTAACCTGCAGATTCTCACTTTTTATCATTTTAATAGCTGATGAGCCTTGCAAGGAACGAGGAATAGGAGATGAGCCTTGCAAGGAATAGGAGATGAGTTCGTTAATCAGTGCTTTCCAAAGGAAAACTTAGCCCACACTTTTGTACGCAGCTATTCGTATTTGTAGCATGTCAGCAAACTCGGTTCTGTCAATATTTTAACACGGTGATACATTGTCGCCCGAACATGGCGCTAGGGCAAGTTAAGTGAAAATAGATTGCCGCGATGCTCCGATTTTAGAAACACGTAGTTGAATGAGGCGTTTAACGATGATCATTAGTCTCGTTCCTTATCACTTGTTCCTTTGGTTAGGACTATTTTAGATCATGAAGGAAGCTGAGGTTAAGAACAAGGAATAGGAGATGAGTCGCAAGGAATAAGATGCAAGCATAACCTGCAGATTCTCACTTTTTATCATTTTAATGGCTGGTGTCGATGTTCCTCAACTCTCTTTTTTCTTCGTATACTTGTCGAATATTCATGTTCGATCGGATATTTGTAGGTATGATCTTCGAAACACATGGAAGAATTAATAGACTCGTGTCGAATATATTCCCTTACCATATACCAGGGTAGTTCACAGACATAAATAGCAGTAAACAGGGGCGGAAGCAGGATCTTATGTTAGTGGGGTGAACTTCTAAAGTTTTAGAAGGAACAAACTTATAAAATTCAGGAGACGGAAATAGATTCTTAATTGAACATACAAATAAAATATCTAAAATATATACGGATTTGAATTTTTTAAGAATGTCTTTAACCGTCACTTTCGGTCCATCCCTGGTAGTAAAAGTATTTTTTTTCTGTTCATCATGGACTTCCAATCCATTTTCATTTTCGTTGAAGCTTTCTTAAATTTGAGGGTCACTCATTGAATATAATCTTCAAATGACCTTCCATATACATGGTATAGTAAAATAGCTCAAGAAAGCCTAGAATGGGTTATGAATGGGTGAGCATTCGATTGAGTCGAGTCAAAAACTTTTTAAGTTATTCGAGTTGACGAGTTCTATTTTACAATTAGGAGTTGACTTGAATTTTTTTTCAATTCGAGTCAACTCGAGTTGATTTTTCGAGTTTTTCTTTAAATTTAATTGTGAATATTTATAATATTATAATATTATTTAGTTCCAATTTAAGTGATTTTCTATATCCATATAAACAATACAAATATGTTTCTTCATATTTTTTTCATATGTTTAAACTCACATTGATTTTTTTTCCATATTTTTCGACTCAAACTTAAATATCAATCTATTAATTACTAAAAATTTTGAGTTATTCGAGTTGTATTTCACAACTCGATTTAAACTTGAATTTTTTTCGAGTCTAGCTTTTTCGAGTCGAATCGAGTCAAAAAAGTCAGTTTCTCGAGTCGAGTTTTGTTCACCCGAATGTATTGTGTGGGTCATTGTTTAAGCTCACGGTTTTTTTGGCCCATTACAGTGGGCTCTAAAATTATATAGGGAAAAAGAGGTGTCAACACATTATTTTGAGATATACAATATTTTTTACAAAAGTAACTCATCACCTCGAGTTTCTGAGGATATTATTTATATATTTGAGGTTTATTATTTTATTATTTCTTGTGAAACTCGATGTCGAGTTTTATTAAAAATTTATTTTTTTATTTTTAATATGAATATAATTTTTTTAATCGAAACTCGTCACCTCAAGGTGACGAGTTCCATTGGTATAAAAGAATAAGATTTTTGTTATAGAATTGAAACCTCCAAACCCATATCAAGATATAAACTATTAGTTTTATTTTCTTTTGATACCTACATTTCTTTTTTTGTCAAAATTGTACCTAATGTTTACTTTTTATTTCATTCTGGTAATTCGCTGTTAAAATTAAATTTAAAAGTTAGAGTGATTAAATTAGGAGCAATTTGAAAGTTATTAAATTTAACTTTTTATTTTAATTGTATATTAATAAATTAATAATAAAAATATGATGTCACAAAATTAGAAAAATTAAACTCCAGTGATCAAAATAAGAGTGAGAAGATAGTTGAGTGATAAATGATATAATTCACTAATAAAGATGTCATGCTTGTTCAGCTAAATTTTTAATAATAGGTACCAAAATGAAATAAAAAGTAAATGATAGTATAATTTTGAAACAAATAAAAATTTAAGTACCAAAAGAAAATAAAACTAATAATTTATATATTAAACATCTAGTTTACCCAATATAAAAGGTAATAAGTTTGGACGTTTCAAATCTAAAACAAAAATCTTATTTTTACACTAATGAAACTCGACTATTAAAATTTTTAAAAATAATAATAATTTTTTAATGAAACTCGTCACTTCGACAAGGTTTCACAAAAAATATTAAAATAATAGACATTGAATATAAAAATAATATCTCATGAAACTTGTTATCTCGAGGTGACCCTTTGTACTGTAGAAAATGTCGTAGATCCCAAAATAATATATTGACACTTCTTTTTTTCCTAAATAATTTTGGGGCCTACGGTAATGGGGTAAAAATATCGTACTTCCCTAAATAATTTGTTTGGTGGATACTTAAGAATGATTTAAAATTAAGCTTAATTGAATAATAAAATCTAAATTTGGTCTCTTATTTACTTTATGTATGTATAATTTTTTGTCAAAGTAGATGTCTAACATTTTTCATGTTACCATTTAAAATATTAAAATTCATATTAAAAATCTAAAAATTAATAATAATTTTTTAATGAAACTCGTCACTTCGACAAGGTTTCACAAAAAATATTAAAATAATAGACATTGAATATAAAAATAATATCTCATGAAACTTGTTATATCGAGGTGACCCTTTGTACTGTAGAAAATGTCGTAGATCCCAAAATAATTTGTTGACACCCCTTTTTTTCCTAAATAATTTTGAGGCCTACGGTAATGGGGTAAAAATATCGTAGATAATAATTTATATATTAAACATCTAGTTTACCCAATATAAAAAGTAATAAGTTTGGACGTTTCAAATCTAAAACAAAAATCTTATTTTTACACTAATGAAACTCGACACCTCGAGGTTACGAATTCCATTTAAAAAAAACTAAATTCATATTAAAAATCTAAAAAATAATAATAATATTTTAATGAAACTCATCACTTCGGAAAGGTTTCACAAAAAATATTAAAATAATAGACATTGAATATAAAAATATCTCATGAAACTTGTTACCTCGAGGTGACCCTTTGTACTGTAGAAATTGTCGTAGATCCTAAAATAATTTGTTGACACCCCTTTTTTTCTTAAATAATTTTGGGGCCTACGGTAATGGGGTAAAAATATCGTAGATCCCTAAATAATTTGTTTGGTGGATACTTAAGAATGATTTAAAATTAAGCTTAATTGAATAATAAAATCTAAATTTGGTCTCTTATTTACTTTATGTATGTATAATTTTTTGTCAAAGTAGATGTCTAACGTTTTTCATGTTACCATTTAAAATACCTAATGTTTCATTTTGTTATTATTTTGAGGTTATTCCGTCAATAGCTATTAAAAATATCTATCAACTAATGGTTACTTGACACATAATATTGGTTATGGTTAATATTGAAATTTATTTTTTTTTAAATATTTTTTAATTTCTTAATTCCTTCAAATCCTTAATCCCTAAATCTCTTTGAAGATCAAAGATCATGCAATAAGCCCGTGAATAGAGGTTCAGGAAGTAGTGTAGCCTCTAGGGGTGTGCAAATCCGGGTACCCGAATTTTCGGGTACCCAGAACTTTCGGGTCGACGATTTTTAAAACTAACCGGGTACCCGGAAAAACTAGATTTTGTGACCCGGGCCCGACCCGAGAAATGTCGGGCCGGGTACCCAACCCGGTCGGGTAATTTTTTTTAGAGAATTACCCAGTTTTTTTAGATCCGGGTCGGAGGGTCGGCGGGTCGGGTAATTTTGCACACCCCTAGTAGCCTCATCGATGGCGAAAATCGACGACTAGTGAAAAAATTAAAATCATGCCACGTGTTAAGCATTGATTGGATAATATTTTTTTTTGACAACATATACTTTAAATGATAACTTTGAAAATGTTAGATATTTATTTTAATAAAAAATCTAGACACATGAAATAGATAAGAACTATACTTTGAGTGCTTATTATATAATGTAAATGTTGTAATTTTTAATCTCAAAAAATAATTTAGTATAAAAAATATATTTTTAGTTAAATGTAATTATAAAATTATTTAATTATTAAAATGAGGGTAATATTTCTTCTTCTTCTTATGAGTCTTACCATTTTCAGGTCTGGTTCCTCCCACAATCAATATTCTATGATACTTTAAGAAAAAAAACTCAAACAGATAATATATTTTTTTTGTTTCCTATTTCGGTTTTATGTCCCGAATAATTTAGATTGATTTTGGTCTCGCGGTCTCGCGTATAATTTTGGTGGGTAAATTTCTTAACATAGATTTTTGACATACACGAAGATTCGAATTCAATACATACTTAAGTATAATAAGATGTTTATCACTTGAATCAAACTCCGTTTATTAAAATATAAATACACTAAAATGTTATAAAAATTATTTTTTAAAAAGTTAAGATGAGATAAAATATTAAATTCTTAGTCATATTTCTTCAATTTATTTTTATGTTGGTATTTTATCATCTAAACATAGATGGGTCGAAGGGTGATGAGGGCACTTGTCCCGCTAAAATTATAAATTCAAGTTCTATTCCCTAACATAAGATCATACGTCCGTCCATACATCTAAATACCTTTTGAAACGTGGAAGAAGGTAAGTAAATGTAAAGATGCAAATTAAACAACAGATAAACGATGGCATATCTGGGAATTTCTTCAACAACTTATGTAATATATATATATATATATATATATACACACATATATGCATGCATAGTGCATAAATATGTATATACTATATATATCTTCATCACACCAGAAGGGGAAGCTTCGTACTATTACTGGCTAAGATTATCCGTTTATTGCTACAGTTATTTCCATTTTACAAACACAGAAACAGGGGGCGGGGGCGGACAACCTTTAACCCCGGCAGCGAGCGATGGCGCTGCAGCCTCGGTTGTAAGGGTTGGCTTGCGCTCCCGGCTGGCAGTTATAATACGACGCGCCCCTCACGGAGCACGGCACTGTGTCCCTCTGAAGAGCCCCGTAGCTTATGTACTGTGTGTTCGACGAGACGTTTTTACGCGCCTGTTGAACTCAAGCCCATCACCATCCAGTTGTTCGCCATGCACTCCGCCGTTGAGCCCCGACAGCTGCTGCCGGACTCGTTCGTCGTCGTCGTCGGACCCAGATCAAGCCTGCACGGCGCTCTCAGAGGCGGCCGAAGCGGCGGTAGTTTTCCATTTTACAAACACAGAAACAGGGCGGGGCGGACAACCTTTAACCCCGGCAGCGAGCGATGGCGCTGCAGCCTCGGTCGTAAGGGTTGGCTTGCGCTCCCGGCTGGCAGTTATAATACGACGCGCCCCTCACGGAGCACGGCACGGTGTCCCTCTGAAGAGCCCCGTAGCTTATGTACTGTGTGTTCGACGAAGACGTTTGCAATACGCGCCTGTTGAACTCAAGCCCATCACCATCCATGTTGTTCGCCATGCACTCCGCCGTTGAGCCCCGACAGCTGCTGCCGGACTCGTTCGTCGTCGTCGTCGGAACCCAGATCAAGCCTTTCACGGCGCTCTCAGAGGCGGCCGAAGCGGCGGTGGTGCCGAGAAGGAGTAAGGAAATGGCCAGGAGAAAACCAGAGGGATTAGCCATTTGTTTTGCTTTTCTTGTATGTTGCAGTTTGTTCAAGTGGAAGGGAGAATGGCCTGCAACTTGTTTTTAAAGGATGTCTAACTCGTTATTTACTAAAATGCCACTTGACCCCACCAACTGACCTGGCATAATAAATTTAAGATTTGGCACATTAAATATTTTCATTTCACACCCTTATTTGCAATCACGCGTATGATTTTATGTTAAAAGCGAACTTAAATTTATAAAATTTTAAGGTGTAAAATAATTTTTTAATAGAAAATATATAAAAATCTAAAATATATAATAATTTTAAATTTTCAACGGGCGACTGTCCTCACATGCTTCTTAGTCCATCCCTGATAATTTGTAAAGGTGAATATTCAATTAAATCGAGTCAAATTAATTTTTTTTTGAAATAATTTAGTTTATAAGTATTATTTTATAATTTATTTTTTCAAAATTTAGAGTCGAATTTATGAAATTTTTAATTTTAAACTCCCTAACTTTGTTACTGCTTTTAAATAATATTATATTTTATTAATCAAATAATTTAATCTTATATTATGGTGAAATAAATCGAATAAAATGATTCAATACATATGAAAGTCCATTTTGTAATTTTGGATTCCCCTAATCCCATTATGAAACCTAATAATATATTCTTTAAACCTAACTAACCTCAAAAGTATAAGATTTTACTTTGGTAGTATTGTAAATATTAGGTCGAAGAAAACTCGAATCGACTCAAAAATTAAATTTTTGACATGAATTGATACTAGAAAAATTCAAATTTGAAACGAGTTACGAAATATATTCGAAAACTTTTAATATTTAGTGGATTGATTTTTAAGTTTAAGTCGAGTATCTCAACTATGTACGATATATATATATCACATATAGAAAAGTTATATATTGTATATGATTATAGAAAACCGTTTAATACCAACAACCAATTGGTCTAGTGGGATGAGGCACTAGGTCCCTTAAGCAAGGTCAGGGGTTCGAATCATGGCGTTTACGAATGGAGCAAACTGGGTTGGGAGGGTCGCCCTCGCCTCTGCAGTATCCGATCTGGATTAGTCGGTCAATAGATCGGATATCAGTGGTTAATTCAAAAAGAAAGATAGATAAAATGATGGTTTATCGTTCAAAGGAAACGAATACAAGGTGGTTTCAAGAATCCTAGTTCGACCCAACAACCTTAAATAGTTTGCCTGTCCAAATCCCTTGACCATAGCGAGGAAGCTTAACCTAACCCACCAATGGAAGAAGAAGAAGACAAATGTTTATTAGGGCTATGATTTACTTCTCTTCTTCATTCTTCAATAAACCTCATTAGTTCAATTGACTCATTTACACGTTCAACAAACGCCTAGATAACTATTCTGAAAGTTTTTGGGGGACTTCTTTTTATATTTTGATTAGCCTTTCCTAAACCTAATTCAAGAAAATGACCCAATCAATGGTGATGTTTTTGAAAACCCTTGTTCAAGAGGTTTGGACAAAAGATAACGTTCAATCTCGGGTTCAAACAAACACAAATAAAATTTCAGGATGAGCATATTTTGAAAACATATATATAGTTTTTTAAAACGATTTTTGAAAACATTATAATATATATAGTTTTTGAAAACATATTATTTTTGAAAATATAATATATGTTATATAGTTTTTATTATATATTATTTATATTATTATTTATAATTTTATATTTATTTATATTATTTATTTATTTATTTTAATTTTTTGTTAACAGGTCCAAATCCAAATTCGGGTCCAATTTAGTCTAAAGTGCAGCCTAACTGAGCCAGCAGGCCTGACCCAGCAAGCCAGCCCGGTTAGGAGCCTGACCCAGCCCAAAATAATTAGGGTTTTGTCATAAGCTAGGGGCGCCGCATGGTTCACAACCGTTAGATCGAGAATAGATCAACGACCCAAATTGAAGATAGCTAGGGTTTCAACCCTAGCACCAGCAACACACAGGGATTTGGTCAAAATGATCCAACGACAAATCGAGAAAACCGAAAGGTACCCACCAGCCAAACAACGACCACGCACCAACGAAACAACCAAAGTCGAGAAAAATGCCAAAAAAATGGCAATGCAAAGGAACCCCGACAAAATCAAGACTGCACCATCCCGTTTAGCCGGTCAACAACAACCCCCTCAAGCTCGGATAAAACGAGGACGAGAGAACAACCCCTGAAATAACCGAAAAAGAGTCTCGATCGGGGGCTATATAAATACGAGCAACCATAGAGGTACGATCATCAAGAAAAATACCAAGACAACCAACAAAAGAACACATAAACCATCACCAAAAAGAGCTTCAAAACAACAAAAAATCACCAAGCACTATACAATAATCGAAAGAAACAACCGAGTGAAAATACACGAAAATAGCGTGGAAAAGCTACAACAAAAAACAAAGCAGCGGAATAGGCTCTAAGGAGGAACAGTCGCCGAGAAAACAAAGAGACCTCATCGGAAAAAGGTAAAAAAATCGAGACTTCGCGTTTATATCTACATCGGAGGGGGTGTTTTTAGGGTGGTTGGGCCTCGGTTTTAGGTTCACGAGGTTGAGGGGAAATTTTGTGTAAGCTTTTAGGTTTTCGTTGGCCGGAGAGGTGGTCAGAACGGTGGTCAGCGGCAGGGCTTTGCCGGAGTGATGGTCGACCATAGGCCGGTTTAGAGAGTTTAGAGAAAAGGGAGAGGGTTTGATTTTGGGAGAAATGAGTGAAATGCTATTTTTTTTTTGTGATTTGGGGGAATTTATAGGGAGGACCTTTGTGTAAATATGAAAATTTTAAATTATTTCCGCAGTCCCTACAATTTTGATGCGTAATTCATTTTGGTCACCTGTTGTAAATTTGTCGTTGAATTTTGAATTTTTTCAATTTAATCCCTATTTATATTTTTATATTTATGCAATTTGACCCCCTAACTTCTTATTTTCTTCTTGCAGTCTTATAATTATTCCAATTTGATCATTGATTTTTTATTCTTTTCGATTTGGTCCTTTTAATTCAAATTTCCTTTTAATTTTTTTATTTAACATTAATTTGATTTATGTTTTTTAGGCCAATTTTAAATCTTCCAATAGTCAGTAATTCGGATCAAACTTTTTATTTTAATTTAATCTTTAATTTTCGCAATTAAGACAACCGATAAATTAATTTAGTACCTACCAATGGCTAATTTGGTTTGTACACCGTCCAAGTGAGTTTGAATTTCTAATGATGAAGAAAAAAGGGTGAAGAGGACTGTTGAATAATCGGGTAAAGAAAACGGAAAGAACACAAGAATTTTAACGAGGTTCAGTAATGTGCTTACGTCATCGGTGCCCTAGGCGGCGCTAGAATTTTTCATTCTATATCTCACAGGTTTTGGTTACCTCTCATTTTATAATAAATAAACCATGATACATATTTACAAAAATAACCCTGTACCGTATTAGCGACCTGCCGGACTCGATTATTTGTCACATACTTTCATTTCTCCCTACCAAAATGTCTGTTGGCACCAGCATTTTGTCAAAGAGATGGATAAATTTATGGACTGATGTTCCCGTTCTCTCATTCTGTTCCACTGAATTCATGGGCAGCTTCGTGGATTCTGTGGAGAAGGTGTTAACCATGTGTCAAGCTCGAACTATTTACCATGTGTTAACCCCACTTGGGTCGTGAGTGTTATAAGTCGTTGCAGTAGAGCTTGAAGACACTTAAATTGACTGGACTCTGTGATCGGGAATGTAACTGGAAATTCATAGAACATATTCTGAAGAACGCGGAGTTCTTAAAGCAAGTGAAGATCGAGACTTCTTCACGGTTGAAGAAACGACGCCACCATCCGAAAAACATGTTGAAGTACCCTAGGGCCTCAATGGAATGCGAAATTGGCTTTTCCATGGACTCATCAGGCCAAGAATTTCGCTTGTGATTGAACTTGTCGGCACTCTTAAAACTAGGGGGTGCAAATCCGGGTCGGTGATTTCTCGGCCCGTGTCCCGACATGGATGTTGCAGGTATCCGTTTTTTTTCATTTTCAAATTATTAATTTAAAAAAATATACACAAATTTAAATGTTTGAAACTTCAAATTACATACTCCAACATCCGAACAAAAAATTTAAAAGTTCGAAATACAAAATCTAATAATTCATAATATAAATAATTCATTATATTATATATATATATATATATATATATATAATATATATATATATATATATATATATTATATATATATAATATATAATAATAACTAACGAGGTACTCGGGTAACCAAGTACCCGAAAAATACAATTTTGTGACCCGGGCCCAACCCAGTAAATGTCGGGACGGGTACCCAACCCGGTCGGGTAATTTTTTTAGAAAATTACCCGATTTTTTAATGTTCGGGTCAGCGGGTCAGGATTCGAGTCAACCAGGTTGGGTATTTTTGCACACCCCTACTTAAAACATCTGGTTTTGTAAATAAGTATTTTTATTTCTTTAGAAAAATAACTTTAAATCAAAAAACCAAAATTGAGTCTCTAACAATAAAGTATTTAAAATTTTAAAATTAAATATTTTTAGATAATATTATACTCACATGAATAATGTGGGTGTAAAAGACCTAGGATGATATTTCCTTAATAAGAACATAATAATAGGGTTTGTATCAATATATTTTATCGACACTTTACCACTTTAAACTTTAGATGATAGAAAGGACGGACGCATGATTTTATGTTAGGGGATTAACTTGAACTTATAAATTTTGGAGGGCCTTGTAAAGTTGTGGGGGCGAAAACAAACTTTCAATAGAAAATACATAGAAAAAAAATCTAAACTATATGATAATTTTAGATTTTTAAAGGGGCAACCGTCTCCACCCGCCCCCGTCTAGGTCTATCCCTGAATGATAGTCTCTTTATTATTTTAGGTGTCTAAACTTTTTTTTGTTGTTGTTGAAGTAATTACATAATTTTTTTCTCTCAACTAAACTTTGGACTAATTTTTGAACTTTGGACATACATTGATGCTCAACTAAACTTTT